CTGGCATCATTATTTTAGTATATTATCATAGAAGTTAATACAATATGCACTGCATTATGCATCATACATATGTATAATGTAGTGCTTATTTGTCCTCTTGCCTGTGATTTGTTTTGCTTGTGTTTATTCTATAAATAATTAATTATATCATCTTCTGCTCTGTCTCTGCTACATAAGACTAAGTTTATTTTCCTTCTTGATCTCTTCACCTATCCCCCGCTCTTCTCCTTGCTTCCTTTCTTCTACTTACCTCTGCTTGTTTCCCTTTCATCCGCCTCAAGGCTTCCTCCAAATAACCCCAGACGGTTCTCCTCAGGCCCAGCGGAAGGGTGAGGTGGCAGGTGAGGCCGACGTCTTGGGGTCTTTCTGCCTCCACACCTCAGGGCTCGATTTAACCACCCAGGAAATGTCCAAAGAGCACCAAGTCTCCTCCACCGAGGAGGGAACTCTTACCATGGTAACCAAGAGCACCAGAATCACCCGGCACACAGTTACCACTGAAACGCAAGCAGGTGAATCTTCTGCAACCACGAGAACAACTCACCAGGTGTCGGACTTCAACTTCTGAGGATGCTGTAATGATATCTTAAATGTCTTGTGATGTTTTTGTTTTTCTTTGGTAAGGTTGCAGTGTTCTTGTATGCTAAAGCCTGCAATGTGGCAAACCTCGATTAAGTAAAAGTCTTTATTTTATATTTTAATAGGTGAGCTATGAATGTGATGAAAAACAATGACATTTCATCAATCAGCAATATTGTCATTATTAGCAACAGAGTTATATATGCTTACTTTTTGCATTTTAAATGTGACATTTTTTTGTTCCTGTTCTTTGAGTTCAGTCCTAATTATTTATCAGACTTTGTTTGGTTTGAAAGTTTTCACTGTGAATGTAAACATGTCACATTGCTTGGTTATTTATTGTTGTTTGTGTGTTCGAAATGCGCTGGAATGAGTATTTTACTCACATCAGCATCATGGATTTCACAACGATTATTTCAAAATAATTAAATTTTAACCATTACAGAACAGGCCAGAGTAATATCAATGTAAATACAACTATGTCATTGCTTTTTTGAAGCAGTATCCCTTTGATCGGAAATGTAACTATTTTCATATTCACCAGTCGGGAGTAGAAATCATATTTTTTCTGATCCTATGTTATTTGTCTTGGAGGAAAGGTGTGAGCTTTTTGAGATTATGGGCTGTTCTCCTTTGCTGCCATATAGTTTTGTATTTTAAGCATTTAGCTGGTGCTGTTACCCAGAGATAGTCACAGTGAGTGGGCAGGACACTCAGGACTCTTTTTCTGCTGTGGGGATCAAATCTGTGACCTTCTGGTTACAGGTTGCTCTCGATCATTTACTGTAGGCCACCCTGCTGCTAGTTTTTTTTTTATATATGTCGATGTTTTTACTTTACACTGCCAGAAAAAGAAGCCACTATACTGTATATTTTATGATAGAGGTTTTTAGCTCCAAGATACACCTCCTGACTGATGCTGATGTTTTGAAACTCTGTGAATTGTTTTGAGTTTCAAAACATCGACAACAGACTGGAAGGGAATTTGGGGATTTAGAAGTGCTGTTGGGCACTTTAACACAATCGGTGAGAAGAGTTTTAAAAGCTGTAAACCTTTTTCTCTTGACATTAATAAAAAAAATAACCCTCTAAAAAGGATGTTACTGTCAGGCTACAATGACAGACTGGCTAAGGAATGGCGAGCCTTGATGTTTTACAGAAGCTTGCATGTAACAAAATATGTCCTCTAAAGACTGAAGCAAGGTGGTCATAGCAAGAGGACCAAGGCACTTGTCCCTTTTGATTAAAATGTCTTTAATAATCTGACATTCTTCTGTTTATTTTTTTATGCATATTATTGAATATATTACACACTAACGTTGAATGTTAAAATGTCAGATTAATGAAAGCATTTTATTATGGCCCTCTACCCATTTTTTTTCAAAAAGCATCTTTTTTTAAGTTTCATTCTCAAATTCAGTAACTACCACTTGAGAGAAAAAACAGCTATTGTTATGTTTCTGGCATTTGATAAAAACTCATTGTTTTAAAACTACTGATTGTATACACTGCTCATAGCCATTTACAGTTTCACAGCATACAGCCATGTGATTATTCAAAATAAGGATCTACTTTTCATGTGGATGTAAAGCATTTAAGAATGAACACTTGACTTTGCTTACTTTACTTGGTTGGTAGATGGAATGAAATTGTGTGATAAAATGCACTAATCCGGACAAATTGCCTCCCACACTTTTTTTCATTAACAACTTTCAACACCATGCCTGTATTTCGTGATGACAAACAGATGATAGATTTTTAAAAAGCCGGGACGAGAGTAGTGACATGTCAAGGTAACACGCACTGAGTAGTATCTATGTGTATTGAGATTTTTACCTTTCTGGTTTAATCAAGTCTTTGAATTTCTTTTAGATTTTTAGGGCTTCAGTGCCAAGTGTTTTTGTCAAAGCTGCATTGGAGAGAATGTTGTTGAAGATGTTACATCAATAAAATGATATTCACACAAAAAAATCATTTAAATGATTGTCTCCTGATGTTTTGACCTTCAGACCTGCTGAATTTTTAGTTCGTTATAAAAGTGGACTCATTGGTGTTTTGTGAGACTCTCATTCAGCTTGAATCATTCCTTCATCCGTCTGTTATCTGCAGACCCACTGATCCTTTGCAGGGCGACAAGGGGCTGGAGGAAGTAGCAGCTCACATTGGGCGATAGGCAATGTATTCAAATCCCTTCAGTTGTAAACATGTAGCGGAAGTTATGAGATGGTAAATAAAAACTTTGCCTTGAACAGTATACAATTTTACTTATCTCATTTGATCATCTCATAATAATTAACTTGTATGACACAATTTTGATTTAGTTAACATTCTCACTGTAGTTGTGATTTATAATCTCATAATTTAGATTTAGTTACTCAAATTTTTCATTTGGTGAGCAAGTGCAAATGTTCACTTACTATTTCATAATTTTGACTTTGTAACTTCAATTTTCATAAGCAACATAATACCATGTTGCAATGAGTATTTTTTTGTTATTTTATTCATGATGCATAATGTTTCATCTTTGATTTTCTTTGCTTTCCATACCGTGGCCCCACTGGGTGGAAACACATTTTAAAGGCCGGTTTTTATATACGACTTTGAGCAGAGTAAACAACATCCTCATGTCCACCATGCAAATCAAACAATAATCTCATCATTAGATGAAACTTCAGTGGGCAGAAAGAGACACAACTCCAAAGTGAAAATTGAGCTAAATTAAAGAAAGCACATTTCAGGCTAATATATTACACAAATCATAATAACTGCTCATTGTAATTATAATTGCTAACATGCTAACAGCTTCAACACAGATCTAAATCCATCATTATTATACTTACTATACTATCATTATATGAACAATTTCTGTCATATGCATTGAATGTGTTGTAATTCTGTTATGTTGTTCATTCTGTACACATGACATCACACTTCTGTCCATCCTGATAGAGGGATCCCTCCTCTGTTGCTCTCCCTAAGGTCTCTTCTTCCTCCCCCCAGGCACAGAGGGAGTTTTTCCTGTAGCGATGTGAGGGTCCTGGGACAGAGGATGTTGCATACAGATTGTAAAGCCCTCTGAGGCAAATTTGTGATTTGGGGCTATACAAAATAAATTGAATTTAATTTAATATTAGCTCAATTACTTGTCACATGGTGCCAATAGCATTTAAAAAAAAGTCAGTGGGTTTAGCATTTCTAAAATATGTTGATGTTGGTGCCCTCCAATGGCGGAATAAAGCAAGACACAGAGATAGACAGCGCTGCCCGTCACCCAATAATAAAATGTGAAAACACAGAAGCACACATAAGCATTAAAAAAAAATCAGTTTTCTGCAGCGGATTAGAGACACAAAAGCACATGTACGAGTCTTTTTGAAACAAATCCTCGGAGATGAGGGACTTTGGAAGAGAAAGTGATAAACTATGCACCCCGGTACATGACGTCTTCCCATTGTGTGTGCGTGTGTGTTTGTCTGTGGATGTGTGTCTCAATCTTATCTACTGCTGTGATGATGCTGTGCGACGTAGGCTGCAAGGGTGAGTGCATGTGAGGGGATTATATGAGGAGCGAACAATGCCACAGAGAGGAGGGACGCATGCGACTGCAGCGTCACCAGCTACGTTTTTTACTGTTTTATATCTCACTACTGATGGAGCAGACTTTAAGGAGCATAAGATGGGACGTTTTCCTACAACTGAGGCTTATGTCTTGTTGCATCTTTTCAGTAGGCCTGTCTCATCATCTCGTATCCCTTAAAGGCAGATTATGCACAACATTCAAAGTGGGCCCCTCCTCCAGCATTTGTTTTACTGAAGAATAATTACCTTGCAATAGGCCTTAAGGAGAAAAATGAGAATAGGCAGATTTTTAGAATAAAGTCGAAATTTCATGAATAAAGGTTGCCCTTTCAGTTGTAGTGCCAGGCATATAAAAAAAAATCAGAGGAGGAATAAAGTCGAAATGTTGAGAATAAATGTTGAACTTTTGAGAATAAACCAAACTACTAGTGACATGAGCTGACATTTCAACGCTCCAAATTTTGACTTTATTCTCAAAATGAAAAATAATAAAAACAAAAGAATCGTCTCATGTTTCTCCTCATGCCTGGCTCTAATACTCAACTGTTTGGATTAAGAAACCGTTGTTGGGAAACAGGTTTTAAAAATAATTTTAATTGTGCGAAAGACGCATTATCTTTTCAGTCAGATGTCAAATATTGCCAAATATAGCTGAGTTCTCTGACAGAAACGTAAATAACTATTTAAGCAAAGTGGGGCTATATAGATTAATTCCTGCAGTATCTGAGTTATGTTTCTTAATTCCTCCTCTGTGGCATCAACAACCCCGCATATACTTCCGCTCTGTCACATCAACCCTGCCTCTTTGCGGCACGAATCACCTCTCCTACCGATGAGTGGGCTGCAAGTCAAATTAGCTCTCCGTCATCGTGCTCGCTGAGCGCACCGGAGGCTACTGCGGTAAGATGCGGCGACGCACTATGCCCAGCCGCGGAGGATGAGATGATGCGCAATGGCCGAACGAGTGGGGAGGGAGGGCATAGACCGAAATAGGATTTCACTGTGGTGCTCGGCTCTAATTTAGACGATGGGGCAGAAGCGGATGCATGTTTGACTCATTTGTAGTGCTGAAGCGCCAGTGGTGCAGGCCGACTGGATGGATGTGGCGGCGCTGATCCCACTAAAGGATGCTCCACAGCCCGAGGAGGGGTTGAATAGGATCTTTCTGTAAACAACAAGGAAGCAGGGACACATTAAGTAAAGGACACTTCATTCAAAGCCTGGACCAGAAACACCGAGGCATCGAGGGAGGTGAGAGACAATCAAACCTTTCCTCGGGCATCTCTTTCTTTCCGGACACGTTGGCTGGAGATACGGATTTTCCAGGTACGGTGTGTGTGTGGTTTTGACGTGGTTCATCTTCATCACAGTGGAACCCAGCCTGTCGAGGCTATTGTGATATGCATGGTACAAACATGTTTATAAAATGTATTCTTTAAACTGTTTAGGCATGAGCTGTGGATTTATGGATTTATGGACACCTGGGTTTCATTTTTAGTCTATGCGATGATTATGTACGGCTGATGCAACAACTGATCTAATTGGCACCACATGATGTGAATGCACATTTTTTTAATAAAAAGAATAGAGTTTGATTGTGTACAAGTATAGTTTGTAATGAAGCCAATTAGATTCAAAAGTATGACCTTTGACAGACTCCCCCCCCCCCCGGACATGATAGCTGTAATCCAGTTATTCTCCCCAAAGTGAATCACAATCACTTCTCTATGTGGAATTAATTAAGTATGACAAATGAAACGTTTTTCATTTATGTTTTCATTTACATGTTAATTACCTTGAATCTGCTTTAATTGCTTTCATATTAATCAGAAAAGTAAAGCACACGTCACATTATTTCATCTATGTGTCTTTAATTTCCTTGTTTTTTCCCACTTCCCTGCAGGTTGTTTTATGACAGTTGAGACTGGCCAACAGAGAGGGCGCTGAAGCTCTGAAGGTGGTTTTCACCGAGCATCAATCTGGGAGAAAACAAACTTCTCATTATCCTCTCTGTCATCAGCGCTGACAGCTGGATGTCTGACCTGGGCGGGTTTTTTTCTCCGCCAGAAGACTCTCAAAGTTAAGGAGCGTTAAAGGGAAAACAGAAGCACAGCTCCATCTCGCTGTCTGGAAAACGACTTGTTCTATTTTTCCTTTTTATTGTCCCAAAACTCAGATGTTGTCAGAATAAGCTGCTAAGCGATTAGCGAGAGAGTCAGCTTTCTCTTGCGTTTTCAAGTAAATGACTCACTAAGAAATTCTATTTCAGCCATTTCATAATGCTTCGTGTATTTTTTCTAAACTATGATATTTGTACCTTTGAGCTGTCACTCTCTGGATCAAGAATAGACTCTTGATAGTGCCAGTGTTCTCTTTCACAAATGAGAACTCAACTTGAGCCGACAGGCTGAATTTTAATAAAGCATAAGCGAGGACTAACCGATAAAACATAGATGAGGCCAACAACGAGCAGCATGCTCCAGCAGAATAACAACAACAACTACCCCTGCCTGAATGTGTCAGGCTCCACCAGGGAGATGCTCCAGAAGTGCTCCCGAGCCTCTTTGCCCTTCCCCAGCCGAATGGAGCTGGGCCTGGGAGACTTGCCGCTGATCCGGGGCCTCCGAGCCTGGGCCCTGTGCTCCAAGAACCGCCGGAAGGCTGGTGGTCTGCTGGGTGGAGGACAAGCCCCGACAGCTCCTCCTGCAGGCCGTGGGGGTTCGACTTCCTGCCCCAGGCCTGCAGATGTGTACCTGAGTGGGGAGTGGGGTCGCATGGGGTACGGCCTTCCTTTGGGGCTGGATGCCAGGCAGGCTGGGATCGGATCTTTGGTAACAGTTGCCACTCTGAAGACCTCAGAGGGCAGCGGGAAGACACAGACCCAATGCCTCTTCCTCCGGACTGAGAAAGGGAGCTGTTTGTATTCCACAGCTAAGCCTAGTTCTGGCGTGACTACCGGTGCAGCCTCCAGCGTCGTTGGGGGATGGCTAAGAGGGAAGACAGGCGGAGGAGGCAGAGACATCCCAGCCGGGAAGAGAGATAATGGGTCAACTCCGCAGGCACATACCGGAGTAAACCGGGTTAGGGTGCGATCTGGCCGGAGATGGAGGAAGTCTGGTAATGCAGCAGCCCGGGAGAAAACCGACTCGAACAGAGAGAGGCAGGAGAGTAGCAGGGAGGATCCTGCTGGAGAAATCAATCTGGAAGAAAGGCAGGAAGAGCGAGACAAAGGGGGCCTGGCCGGTAAACAGTCTCCCAGACGGGAGAAAGAGGAAGCGTGCAGAAGTCCTAGATGCTGCCACAGTGCTGCTCCCGAAACTTGTACTCAGTGTGGAAAGAGAGCACAGAGGAGGGAAAGCCAGGATGAATGCGATGGAGGGGAAAGTCCAAGAAGAGGCGCCTCAAACAGGCTGAACGGTGAGGCGAAAGGAATGAGGAAGGAGAAGCAAAATAACGAGGAGGAGGAGGAGAAGGAGGAGAAGGGAGGCATCTGCGGGTTAGAGTCATCCAACTCATTTTTGGCAGAAACAAACCATGACCTAGAAGCTAAAAACTTTCACCCAGAATCTCACAGCAGCTGTGATGTTAAAGAGATTAGAGAAGCCGAGAGCAACGAGGAGCCAAGGACACAAACTTCTCAAGGCGAAGACGATTATTCAGAGAGAGAGCAGGATACAAACTCCGAGGTTATGAAAATGCATACTGGAAATAATAATTTGGTTCATAGCCACTCTAAACAGGTGATTGATGACATATCATTTCCCTATCATGTGGCGGCAGAACAAAAATCTGTGAAAGAGATGGAGAGCGTTGATCTTGAAGATGAGGAAGGGAGCATCAATCAAACTCCTGCTGAATTCTCCGTTGTATCCGTCGGGTATGACGACATCTCTGTCTCCGCCTGCCCTGTCTCCATCAGCACTGTAGTCGCCCCTGAACCCTCCGCTCCTGTAGAGAGCAGCACCTGCAATACAGACCCTGTGATTTGTGGTGTTCATAGAGAGCAAGAGAACAGCAGAGAAGATCACCTCGAGGGCTGTCAACAAGGGGTAGCAGACCCAGGGATCGTGGGGAAAGAAGAACTGGTTCTAAGCAGATTTGAGCAACAAGAACCAAACCGTTTGGCTGACGAGAACAACACTGTGAACGAGAGCACAAGCAGAAAAGCCCAGTCTTTCTTTCAAAATGTGGTTAAACACAGTCAGCCAGAGGAGAGAGAAGCTTCATCTTCGCCTCTCAGACACGGAGATCCTTCCATCTCTGAGAAAGACACGAGGACCGTGACAGGAAACGTTTGCAACTACAGTACAACTGAGCTTAACAGAGCAGAGCGGAGGGATGAGCTGTCGTGGGAATATAGAGAAGAGGAGTCACAGGAAGAGAATGTAGAGGGGAGAGTAAATCCTGAGGAAGGGGATGAAGCTGGGGCAATTTGGAGGAGGGAGGGCACTTGCAACAAGCTGGACAATAGTGGTGGTAAAGGCGATGACGACGTAGAACGACTCACTGCGGATGACACAAATGACAGTACCATACGGGACATTTATGATGAAGAAGCAACGAGAAACTTTGCACTAAAAGACAGCTGGAGGTCAGTGGTTATGAATGTAGATGAATGCAGGGGAAGGAAGAAAGAGGTCGGAGACACTTGTGGACAAACAAGCATCACCCATGTTGAAGCAAATGGAAAGGCAAGCGCTAACGTCACAAATGTTGCCTGTGCTGATCCCTCCACCACTCTTGCACCCTCCCTGGCTAATCCTGCCCCCTCTTCGCCCCCCCTGGGATCCATGGCAACCGGCCTGCCCTGCCTGGAGGCGGTGGAGGAAGAGGAGGAGGAGAAGGAAGGGTTCGGAGTGCCTGCAGGAGACGGAAAAGGAGGCCAGGAAAGGAACGGGAGGTTTGGGAGACAACTGGAGGAGCAGAGCGAGGAGGAGAGGGGCTCCACCGTGGCCACTGAGAAGGGAAGGAACGAGGAGGAGGAGAAGGAGGAAGATGAGTTTGGAGTATTCATGCAGGCGGAGGGAGAGCCGGCCTGGAGCGAGGGACACACCGTGTCTCCCTCAGTGCCTTGTGGGAGAAGAGAAAGTGTTGGTGAGTCTCACAATTGTTAGTTTGTCTCTTTCTATGTCTTCTGGCTGGCCTTCCCCTCTCTCCCTTTCCCTTTTATATCTCTCTCGCCCCTCTGGGTGCTTTAGTAACTCTGCCTTTCTGGTTTGACGTAGACATGGGACAGAGGATCTTTTGGTTAAAGGCAACAACGCTGACATTAAAAGGCTTCAGAAGTAAAGCAGAGTCTTCTAAAGATGTCAGAAGCATACATATTTAGAGACAGCACTTTCAAACTGGCTAAGAGTATTAGTGCATTTTTAATCTTTTGTGCCATTTCAGGAATGCACACACACACAAACACACACACACACACACACACACACACACACACACACACAGTTTTAAAGGGCCATACCAAATCCCATGGACTCTATATGTCACAGTTAATCATTCTGCTGTGTAACCATGCTGTGTTAGAAATGTGAATGTATTTTTCTTCTTGTTACAGTATGAATTAGCAGCCACAGTATCATTATGAGGTTATCAAGGAGACTTTTTAAATCCGATCCAAACTTAAACTGCTTTGCATGCATTAATGATGTAACACTGGCAAAAACAGTACTGCTGACTCTGAGGAGTTATTTTGGATGCTTCTGGTTCTGGATGTAAACTTGTCATTCATTTTTCCCATTGACAATGTTAAGTGACTCACAGTTGGAGCACGTAACTCTCCTGCTTAATTAAATCAACAAACGATATTTGTTCATTAGAGATAACATAAGAAGTGAACTATCACTCCCAAGGTGCATTTCAGCTAGCTTAATTAATTAAAATTCTGTTACGTGCGTGCTGCTGAAAGCTAAAGATTAGGGTGTTGCGAAAACTGCAACACAGTTCAGCAACAATTGTGCCGTGTTTTGTTCACAAATTCAAAGACCAAGCGCTCCCTTGCAGCTCTGATTTATACCGTAGCCTAGCTTCTTCTCCATAGCAATGGCAGCCGTAGCTCATGGGTATTGGTGTATTTAGATCCATTCGCTATTGGCAAAATGATAAACAAAACATGATTTCCCAGAAACAAGGATGAGATAAATACAACTGATAAGATGAACCTATATGATCATTAAATATAGAGCCACGTGTTTCTTTGTGAATTAACAATGCAGATATCGTAAAAAGAAAATATAGAAATGGATGTTTTTGTGAAGGAGCTAAAACCTACAAACACACTAGTATAGTCCTTTTGAAGCAAAACTACTAAATAATAAATGCACTAATAAATAAGTAAATAAATTATATCAGAATCATCCACAGAGCTCTGAGCAAGAAATGTCAACTGAATGACTAAAATAATCTTACAAATTGAATTGGCTCTTATGTAGTCAACACACATGCAGCTGGTTGTGTGACATCTTTGACTCTGTGTGCCTTTTTGTTTTTCTGTATTAATCATTCCTTATGTTCCCTCATTATGCTCCCTTTAGCTAATTACCGAAGCCCAGTTTCCACTGCGGGGCCAAACAAGGCTAAGCCAGGGCTTACACATTGTTTGTTTCAGTATATCCACCTAAAAACATTTCTGTGATTATTTTAACATATTGCTTAAAAATTATGAGCTGAATGCGCTGTCTACATTGACAGAAAGAAAGGTTAAAGGAGCATTCCAGTGTTTTTTCAACCCTTTACTCCCTTACTTTTGAAGGGTCACTTCACCCAAGAATAACTAAAATGTATTTTTGCTCCTTTAGTGGCCATGCAGATAATGTTTTGGTTTCATTTGTTTAGGTTTGGAGTTAATCACATCCATCTGAATAATCCACAGAACACAATATCAACAGTAGTTCCAACTGTCTGGTTTTAAATGTCATTGTTTCAGTGCAAAATATGCACCACAAAACATCATTCATCGCTGTATTGAGGTTTAGCATTTAGGTGAACGAACTCTTAAACTGCTCTCACTTTATACAGTTTTGATGATCATTTTAAAATACATCAACATATTTAATTAAATAAATATCAATTGACTCATTGCTAGGTCCCGCCCCTTGAAAGCAGACAGGCCAATCATATCGGTCAGCTCTGACCAGGGTACGACAAAAAAACAGCCCTGCTCCGTAGACTCTCATGCAGTCTTTTCAGATTTCCTTCAGTTTCAGGTTGGTTTTGTGGATTTGGTTAAGCATTACCCTGAGAGGTTGGAAGGAGATATACATTTCTGATGTTTCCTTTCTACTTTCCTTTGGAGCTAATAGCAGGGTACACTAGCACATTATTAACTAGCATTAGTACTTCTATGCTACGCTAGCTATTGAAGGTATATTGAAAGTTGTAACAATAAATAGAGACCTACATGTCTTTACAGGAACAGTGTTATTTCTTAGTTTCATTGTCCTTTGTCTCGATTGCCAGGTGATGTGGTGGTTCACTTTTACACTGTAATCTGTAGCTTTTGCTTCTATCTTTATCTTTTTAACTTGTTTTAATTGTTGAATCAGTTTGATATCCTGGATATATCCTTCAAACGCATATTGTAGAGCCTTCTGTCTGCTTCTCTCTGAAATTGCTTTTTTCGTTTTTTGATATTCATTGTGATGGATTACACATTCAAGCTAAATTTTAAAAAGTCTGCCATACCATACAGAAATGAGAGCGAGAGAGAAAAAGAAGCCAAAAATACATTTTTAAAAAACCCCAAAGAGCACAGTTTGCAAAATGTTTATCTGTAAAGTAAAATATATGTGATGTGCATTGAAGTGCCTGAACCAACCCATTTTCACTCCCAACCCAATCCTTTTTTTTCCTTACTATTGTTCTTATTTTAACCCAAACCACAATCTTTTCCTAAGCCTTCCCAAATGCATTTGTTGCCTGAACCTAACCAAGAAAACTTAAAAACTAAACCTACATTGAAAGTCTTTGAAAAGAGACCGTATGCATGTAACAAGTGGGACAAGCTGACGTGTCAGGGACAAGCGGACACGCTGTCCCTGACACGTCAAAACTGATGCTGGAGGCATACCTAGAGCGACATAGTTTGACTCATAGCGCCGCTCACCAAGTTGCAGTATTTGATGAGTTGGGAGTGAGAATGTGTTGCAACCATCAAGAACTACAGGTATGGCCATGAGTAACCTACTGAGCCTTCAGTAGGTTACTGACTATGGAACTAGAACATTATTTAATTGCATGAAACATAAAATGAGTTGACCAATCTAATCTTGTGATAAACATGGAGAGTTGTTTCTTGTCCTGGGAAGCACCACTTGGCCCTGCCATGGAAATTAGACTCCAGTCTGTCCTGACCTGAATTCCTAACCAATCCTGTCACGATCAGGCTTTGCCCTGTGTGTTCCTAGCTCCTCACTCACCTAATCAGTTCATTCAGTGCACCTGCCAGTCACACTCAGCTCATTACTCTCACCTGCTCACTCTGTCTCCTTCACTATTTAAACCCCTGCCGCACACACCTACTGCCAGATCATTGTTTGTTTTCCTACCTACCCGCCCGTTTTGCTCGTCCCGTTCCCGGTTTTCCAGTCTGCCTGTTCTGCCTTTTCCTGCCGGATTTTCCCCCTCGTCTTTTGTCTTGTCCCTGGATTCCCTGTTTGTTTTTGGTTCATTAAAACCTTTTTTCACTACACCTGACTGTCTGCGTTTGAGTCCTCATCATGCCCCGTGACAAATCCCTCATTCTCGCTACATGGTATTAATCATTCAGAGTTGAGTTAAGGGAGGGAGAAGGCAGAAAACAGGACTTGGGACTCTAGGCTCCTGTTAGCCTGAGGCTATGGGGCAACGGGTGAAAGTCTCACAAAGGCGACTGAAGTCTCACATAGATAAATCATGCAATATCTGAGCAATGGAGGGTAAGATGGCGTGAAGGCAGCAGGCACAGATGACACGATGAAACACAAATATTCACACACTTGTTTCCTCGCAACAAGGTCATTAACGTTAACGATTAACTCGTCATGCACTGCGGCTGAAAAAAGCCCAGGTTCGAGGGATGCTACGATCCCTACGATAACATCCCACGTTTCCCCTTCTGATACCTAGTCTTAGGGGTTTGGCCGATACAGATTCAATACCAACTTCAAACTTGTGTTCCTGTGTGGAACTGATCTCTCAGGTGTAAAATAACATCTGACTGAAACTATACAGCACTTCTGAAGTATTGGTGGAGACTTTTGTACTACATTCTTCTTAGGCTTGTGAAAAGGTAATTATATTCTTCTATAAGATTTATCAAAATGTGTTGGTACAGTTTTACAGGGACTGGACATTGTAACTGCGATTTTGCTGGGATAGTAGTAAAGGTATGACATCCGAAAATCTCTATGTGAAACTTAAACTACGTGGTTAAATACCACTGCGGGTGTCTTTTGTCGTTTGCTTAAATGTCCCCTTTATTTGGTAATTTTCATGATTAACCTCATCTTCAATGGCATGGACGAAGTTATGATTATAAATGCCAGTTGTTGCCTATTGTTAGCCATCTGTTGCTAACTAACCCCTTCAATGCAATGTGGGTTTGGTTGTTCGTCCGTCCAGGTCATCAGAATGGGGGCGAACTCGAATGGAAACACACCACAACACTACAGGGACGTCTACAACAGAGACTCTACAGTCTAATATTAACCGTGTTTGTGTCTAAAAACAGCACTAGGAAACCATGCCATCGCCGGGGAGTCCAACCCCTGGACACTAGGCTGGACGGACAGCTCGTTCCACCAATCAGACGACACGTGGACAGCCTTTTCTCAGGATTCGTCAGATGAAGGTCGAGATGTGATGGGACAGTGGTGGCCGACCAGCGCCGTGGAAGGGAGCAGAGACAGCCTCTCGTCCAATCAGAATCTGGTAAAGTTCAACTTGTGTTCTCAGCCTCTTCAAAACGTCTTCCGTGAAACCATGAAGTAGAAATTCACCCTTCTTTCTGCTTCAATTGCATCCATTTCTCTGATAATTCACTGACAAACTCTCTATGATTAGTCCGTTTGAATCATCAGCATCGTGTCATTGTGGCCAACCTTTACTGGCTGGGACTGCCTGGTTTTGACTGCTGTATCACCGACACGTGATGTTGAGTGCAAGAGTTATTTATGTAGTTTTTGAGCACTCTATAGATTATACGGTGAAAATGTGGAAAACTGTGTGCACAGAGTGTGCAGCATTGTACTTCTGCCAGCATCGTCTTTCAACTGAATCATGTTGTGATGATATCATACATTCAGATATCGTGATAACAAGGACACTCAAATTTCTTAGGAAATCTGATCATTTATCTTCATCTTAATTAAATGAGAAAATGTTAAGTACTTCCCATTTGTCAAGTATCTAATTCAGACAGGAGTATCCCAAACCATGTGGTTATTTCATATGGACTATTTATTGATTCATAATATTGTTATATATATGATTAACAAGATGTGAAAAGACCTATATCGTGATAGAAAAATGTGCCCATATTGCCCAGCTCTAGTTGGATTCTAAAGATGGACAGTATCAAAATGTATCAAAATCGATGCAGCAGAACCTGTGATATTGTCTTTTTTATTCCATGCATTCTTCGAGTTTAGTAAAACCTACCCACCTATTATACACATAATGCAACTCGACTGGCAATTGAGGATTTATGTGTTATGCTAGTAGCGGCTAATGGAGAGATGAGGAGCAAGCTACCGACGCCGAGACAAGTGAAAGTGAAATTGAAGACCTGTAAACACAATTTGGCACACTTTGATAAACCAAGCAACTGTGCACTCAGTCTACAAATCTTCAGTCAGCTTTCCATTCCAGTCCCTTATTGTTGTCTGCTATGTCCCTCATTTAGTCAGGCTGTGTATATTTGGCATAAAGTCTTGAAATTCCCTTAAGTTATGGATCAACTTGAGCTCAACCTGCTTCATCTGCTGTCCTACAATTCCCCCAAATTCCTTGTAAAGTCCCTCAAAAAAGGTGCTTTTTTGTGTAAGCGCACAGTAGCTAGCGTTGTTGATAGTTTGTGAACATGACTAGTAGGGCTGCACAATTAATCAAACATTTATCCATCACGATTTTGGAAATGCTCCTGCTAGAAGAGTAATATGTGTGTAAACTGAGTTACTGTTGCCCGTGTAGGGCAAAATGAAAAGGCCCTGAATTCAGAAGAAGAACTTTATTTTATGTCTAAGATTAGTACATTAGCAGGAATGTTGCACAACATGGAAGTAGCACAGTGCTCTGTTGTTTTAAATGCACAAGTGCATCTAAAACATGTTTTCCCTAAAATCAATTGAGAATTGTGTTAAATAACCATGATGTCAATATTGATCACTTTTGTCCAGAATCTAATTACTAGTTATTTGACCTGCGGTGTTACAGTGATTTGTGTTCAATCACTGTAAGAACATGTATCTCTCTGTGATGGATTCCTGTTGAATGTTGAGGCAAAATGGGGATTTTAACAAGCTCTTGTTCTTTATAATTAAAAAGGTATAAACAAACCTGGCCTTCACTGTCGAGTGTAATCTTGTCGCTGGAACTCACCATCGACATCCCCAATTCTTCTTTTAAAGTAACGTTGATCTCAAAATCCTATCACTTTCCCAGATCTGGGCCCGACCTTTGGTTCAGTCTTTAAAGTACCGATCTGGCAAATTGCTTATAATTTTGGCCTTTTGCTGGCCTTGTGTTCATAAAAAACTTCCGCCTTTAGGATCATTTTCAGTCTGTTTTTCTAAAAGATGAGTCAGACAAAAACAGTTTGCAATTATTGATGATGAGAGTCAGACAGAGAATCCAAGAGAGCCAGCGGTACCTACACATCCCCAGGGCACCCATGTTGCAGGCAGATTGCTGAAAAAAAGTGTTCCAAAGTAAAATATTGCTTTAATATTGCTTTAGTAAACAGATGTGCCATTCCACTGCATTTAATATACTGTAGCTTCACCCCCTCAGTAAATATGACCCACAAACAACAACTGGTTTTAGGTCCACCAGGAGGTTTTTGAGGTTGACTTACTGAGGTTGCTTTAAAATCTTTGTGCCACTGACAACACAATGTCCTCACTTGACTTCCAGCTGAGGGCTAAATGTGTTGACACAGGCTGGCTGCTGGCGTCCAAGGCCCCTGAGGCCCTCAGAGTAAATCAGTGAAAACGATAAACATACAGCATGTGGAATATAGTTTCTGTTTATAAATCCAGGCCGTTTTTATCAGGGCAGTCGTACCCTAAAGGACAGCTACACTGTATGTTAGCCCAGATGTGTCTAAAATAAACTGGTCATGAATTATTTCAGTTCATTATTATTTATTCAGGCTTATTCAGGCTCCACTTGAGGCCACTTCTTCGACATCTGTGGTTCTGATCGAAACGTCCGTCGGCCTCAGCTGTACTTTGTATTTGGTGCAAAGTAGCTGCTTGTGTGATTGTATCACCGGATACAAACATTTAAAACAAATAGACCCAAAACTATATAACCTCCCTGTTCAGAAGTAATTATGTTAATTTCAGTTTCCTGCACCATCACCATAGAAACACAGCTCGCCCTGACATACCCTCAGGGTTGGGTGGCTAGGTTTTCACACTTGAAATAATTTTATTGCTCTCAGTGATTTTTTTTTCTTTAAAGATGGTTAAAAAAAAAAAAAAAACAGCAGGAAGAGTCTCCCAGTGCAGATGAAAGATGAGCTCAGCGGAAAGCTGCAGTGAAGGAAATATGCTTTCATGTCTTCTGCTTATAATGCCATGAAGAGACCCATAGGACCCGAGAGCCCCCCACGGGGGGCTGTTTTAGAGTGTGCAGCATTCAGCGTGTCGTAGAAAGCATTTTTCATAAAGAAATATGATTATTGCTCCAGACATATTAAATATCGAATTAACGGGAAAAGTCCGAGCAACATCATCATACCAGCCATTGTAAACACTGTAAACACAATTATACATGAACTAATATCATATCTGGAAGATATCTAGAAGATTTGCCACAATTTTGGCCAAAAATCGACGACCTATGCTCACTCTATGGCTCTCTCATCACGGAGCAGGATCGCACATGGCGGATGAACACATGCAGGAGGGGCACGATTCAACCCGGAAACGCACAGCGGCGTCCAAATTACTCTCTTTCAAACTGTTCAAAAGTTATGGGTATGCACGCCAACATCAGCCACAGGTCAGGAGAAAAATAATTAGGTAAAAAAACTGACGGTTTTGGCGATGGAAAAACGGATTTATTCGAGCCGATTTTTTGCACAGCTCTGCCCGCCATGTTCTGCTTCATGTCTGTGAGTGAGATCAATGCGCTGGCGGAATGAATCACAAAATGGCAGAAGATTCTGTGGGGTGGAGCAATCCATGTAGAGAGGGGGGTTCGCCCAGCATTTTGCGATTTTTAGTCAGTAAACAGACCCGGATACGATCAAACACCCCTGCATGGCTCCCGTTGGACTATCCCGCATCTAAAAATGTCTCACACGAGTAAATCGGCCTTACCAAAGTCACATAGACACACATTATGAGCCATTTATTGTTATAAATGACAGATATGACACATCATAACTGCTCAAAATTATTCAAAATGGTGTCAAACTGATTTATTAGGATTATTGAACACTCTTAGTGATAAGAACAGTGAATATATAGTTAATATTTAGTTATATAGTATATAAAATTAGTATACAGCAATGCAATAGCTGGTTCCGAAAATCAAAATTTTGATTTTTATGACCATTTATGCTGGCCTGCTTCACTCAATCGAAGTAAAATATGTTGTGGGGACATGTGAAACGTGTTGTTCTATGACTGTGGTGTGGTTTTAGGCTTGCAGCTGCATTATTTTTTTTT